GGTATACAATTGAATTTTCTACTCTACTTGTAACTCAAATGGTTTTACAATGGTAGTATATTATGTCCATGGAACATTAAACTAATAACTGTACTAATAACAACTTACAGTTTCATATAGGAGAACTTTGCCTCCATTTCTCATACTGCAACAGAAGTTTCATCTTCGTCTCTATCATTGACAAGCAACAGATGTTATACCAGTTTTCAATTACTCAACACTGGTAATTTGACATTCTTCAGACATAGAGAAAAGGTAATTACTAACTAATTTAAGAAATCGAAGTCAAGCTATAGTCTACACTGCAAGTGATCCTGAATTTAAACCATTCAAAATAATAACACAGATTGAAAGACTGAGATATTTGATGAAGCCTAATGGAATAAAACTCTTTGACAGTAATTTGTGATCTCCTTCTTCTCTTCGCTAGAGATCACTGCTGATTTCAATTTTAGTAAAAAAAATCACCTTTTCTAAAATTTATGGAGATGGAAAGTAGAAGTGGAATTAACAATTGAAGTTAGAAAAAGAGCAGCATTTTTCAGAAGTAAAAGAAAAAACACATCTTAAATTTTAAAACCAGCTTGCAAGAAAAAGACCATCCCCCCAAAATGTGTTAGTATTGTTTATGTTCAATCTAATGAATTGGTAAGCTGTCAATTGTCACAACAGTGGTCAGGGGTGCAAACCGCTGCAGATGTTGAGTATACTCAAACCTGGTCATACCAGAAAAAAAGAGAGTAAGCTGTCAGACAATCCGGTGCATAACTGACCTATCATTTGAACAATTCAAGCTTCATGCTTTACCTGGTTGATCTTCCAAGGAAAAATCCTCAATAGAACATGTGAATGCCACTGATGTACCTCAGTATCATACTTATGAGCTTGAGAAAAGATAATGCAGTAGAATTAATGGGCAAATCTCCTTCGGCAGACGGCCTGCTTCATCAAAATTATGTTCTTCTACACATTTTGTTATGTGACCAGACCACTGACCGCCGCCGGAGACGTGCCCATCAACACCTGCATTCTATGAATGCATTGAATGATACTTGGAAACCTCTGAGTATTTATAAGTTAGGAGAGAAAATGTGGCATTGGGCAGAGGTATATACGATAAGAATGATACATTTAACTAAAATGACCCTAGCATTACATTTGTTATCTAGTTATCCTTAATGCATCCTAGTACAAGACCTTCACTGCAAAGATTTGATCTGTCGAATTCATATGGAGGAAGGGCTGATATTTACACAATACGGCGAATATGTATGAAAATAATACTTGGAATAATAGTTTTATCATCCATACAGCATCAAAGAAAGAAGAGGAGGAGAAATTCCTTAGATGTGGTCCAAAACACATGGCCCCATGCTTTATATAAGTCTACTTCAATCCTAACACGGGCTGCAAAGGAGATAAATACCCAAAAAAAAAAAAAAAATTGAGAATCAAGCTATTGGTTTAGCTTTGCCTAAATGTGACTTATGGAAATTTGAGGATACAGCAGGATTGCTTAAGTTCAAATAAGAAAATTACATGGAACAAAACTAGTTTCAGCTTTAATAGGGTGGTAAAGTTTCCTACATTAGCTGCTTAGAAACAAATTTAAGATCTGAAGAAGGCATGGCAAAGAAGCCTGATGAGAAAGAAGGGGGACCATGATGGCAATAGTATTGAAGATCAATCTCAAGAGGAGTGAACCATACCATATACCAATTCAATGCCATCGAATATCCATCTTAATGTCCGAATAACAACAGAAATGAAAAAGGAATTAGCTCGATGATTGAAGCATGAACAACCAGGAAAACAAGAGTGTTTCTGAAGGTGGTGAAGAATAACAGTGCTTTGGCAGAAATATTGCACCACAAGAGAGTGCAATTTACTGCCAAATGAGAATTGTTGTGTCATTCAACTACCCTATGCTGATTGTCCTCACGCACTAGCAGAAGACAGAACATGCTTTCTTGACACTGATAGCAACATCTTGCATTTGATATTTGTTTACTTTTTTTTTTTCTTTCATTTATTACTTACTAGGTGTAGACAAAGGAAGCACGGCAGACCATGATCACATACATGAGAGACCAGTGGATTCCTGTATGAGTATGCTGATTTTGTTGCATTACTCTTCTTAGTGCTTTTGCACCATTCTTCAAGGATGTTTTTGAAGCTAAACATCAAATAAACTATCACCTATGCTAGATTTGTCAAGCTCTATTTACAAAGTTGTTCACTCCAAATCCCAGCATTATTAATTTATAATGTTAAATATGCTGAAGATGTGTATGTTAAACTCAGTAATTGTTGAGGCTGACATAAAGCAGCCATGAAGAAGAACAAGAAAATGGAAAAGTGGCATTCAAACTTTCAATTTGTCAACAAGTTGGTTGCAACTGTGATAACTTTTTGTTGTAATCTGCACACTAGTTTAGATTTATGTAATCTTTGTTTTCAATGCTTTGATGATGGTTCCATCTTGTAAAGTACAACTTCACCTGTAGATTAGAATTTAGACACCTACTGGTCTAAAACAAGCATATACCAAAACAATGCCTCCTTGTGTAGTTGAATGCTCTCTTTCACTTTATTCCCTAAATATGTGTCATTTCCTTGGACAGGAAGTATCTCACAATCCTCTTGAACACCTGACTTAACAGGTTATATGATTCTGATTTCAGATAAAAAATTCATCACCGTTGCCACAACAAACATGTTTGGAATAAAATCTCAGCAAAGATAGTGCATCATAAAAAATGGGGTATAAGGTTTAGTGATGAAGATGCTAGGTTTATTGAGTTGAGTGAACATTATGTGGTTATATTTTGTCACCTTTTCTTTGAGCAGAAAATCTTTTCTCTTTAAGAAAGGCCAAGGAAAAAAAGAGGAGCATGAAGGAAATTGGCTCCACGATAAAGCAAAGGTCATATATAAAAAGAATACTGAGCTTTTGAACTGCTTGTGAGAATACAGCTTTTCTTACTTACGGCGTTAGAAATGTTTGGTTTGAAAACTAGGTCCATCATTATTTGGTTTTCAAAATACAGTTTAGGTTTAGCTTTGTTGATATTATCTCTACTTAATTTGTTGAAGTCTTGATCTTCTTCATATGACCAATCACCATCATCATTGAATTAAATTACAAACTAATTCTAACCATAATAATATAAATAAAACTAGACTGAATCTACACGAAACAAGACTCGGATATAAAACCTTGAGATCCAGGATCTCTACCTTACTACAATACCAAGGCGGGATGACTCATTGACTCTATTTATATCGAATGCGTATGCTTACAATACGTATATGACAGTATCCGAAGAAAACTAGAAATCATGACATGTTATTGTTCTTCAAGAATCGGCCAGTTGTCACAATCATTCGGCCTATTTTATATGCATTAACAGGTCAGTTTGATTAAAATAACATGAACATACACAAGCACATCAGCAAATGAAGACATATCTAAAACGTGCAAAAGACAATGTTTATTAATTTTTTTTTGTATCTGATGATAGACTACATAACATGTGGATAGAGAGTAGCTTTTCTCTTTCCAAACTTCTCCCCACTCATTTCTAGATTCGAACTGGAAATTTTTGACATGGATAATCAAGCTCTCAACCACTAGATCGTTCTCAAAGGACATAATATTTATTAATTGATGGGTGATTTTTAAGATTTCTTTTATTAGTGCAGAAGAATTGCAGGGCAAATCTCCTTTAGCTTTGGGCACTCTACAATAAATGAATGCATGGATTGGATCCGATGCATGCATGTCTCTTAGTGGCTGCCTGCCAACTGAGATTTGCCTAGTAATACAGCTGCACCTGAGCTTGCCCTTATGCTATGGCTCGGGGACGCTCACCAATTATTTATGCTCTTCAATGATAAGCATATTCAAGGCACAATACTCTCTTTTTGTTTGACTTAAAAAGGATTCTTCTTTATGCTTTATGTATTCGATAGCATAACACGGAAACAGCCACAACTACAGAACTAGCAAATCTCAAATAGGTCCATCTCAAACAAGTTCTAGATATTTAATCAACATGTTGATAAATTCATCGGAATTTTGATAAAGACAAAGGGAAAAGGCACTGTAAGAAAAATGCTGGAGGATAAGCTGTGATGGATGCTATGATATGGAAGATCCAAACGAATGTTCTTGAAATAGTTCATCATCTACTCCTTGGATGTGCGTAAGGACCAGCCAAAAAATGGACCCCAAATGTTGTTCTCTATATGCAGAAACTCGAGGGTGCACAGCTCATTTGTTAGTGGCCACATGCTTTTTTTCTTAAAGAAAAAGCTTTTTTATATGCGGGTTGTGGATTCGAATTCATCTTTCAGAGAAATGGAAATGGAGGAATTCACATATGGAACTTTTAGAAAATGATGGAAAATTATAGAGGGATAATATTATTTAATGATTAATTTGTTTTATTTTATTAAATTTATAATATTATAGTCATTAATTTATTTAATAATATATAAAATTTGTATTAAAAAACTATCTTTATCTGGTGTACAGTCCGGTGAAACTTAAACTATTGATGCTGGGGGAGCCTCCACAACAGTTCATCTGGTGGAGTTTGTATGGACCGACTACATCAGCAAAGTCCATAACGTGGCCTGGTTCAGAGTTAGGTTTCTGCTTTACAATTTGATAATGAAGGGATTGTTGGGCCTGGCAATGTACCCGTTATAATATCCATTTTTCTCAGAAACCCCATTCATCCAATCCCAGTCGCCAAACGGTCAGAAATCTTTCTCTTCACCTGTCCCCAGTCCTCTCCTCCCTCCTCCCTCTCTTCCAACAGGCGACAGTCCAATTTGATGAAATGGGATTCCCTGGATCTCTATCAAGAGATTAATTACCCTTTTAAACGTGACTAACTTGTTTGTTCAACTCGTTGGTTTGCTCATTTTATTTCTTTCAGCTGAACTCTATCGAGCTTGAATTTTCCAAGAATATCATAGGTACTGGCGTACTGCCATGAAAAGAATACGCTTCCATCAATAAAGTTTTTTAATCCTCATAGTATTAACCAGTAGATTGTTTTAAAAAGTACAGACAGAACCCAAGGTCATATCTTGATCCCATTCACCTAGATTGTGGAGTATTGGTTTATTCATTTTCTGACAAATACAATTTAATTTTTTTTTTAAATTAAAAATCATAAATTTAAATATGAAAATAATAATTATTGTTTTAGTTTTGGTATTGGTACTCCATTGAATAGAGAAAACTCATAACTTTTGTGGCTATTGTTTTTCTATCTGATTTATGGATTTGATTTTGATTAGCTTATAAAATTCTCCCTTCTATTTTCTTCCTACATAAGCAATTGTTGTGGTTTAGATTTAGCCCCTGGTTTTGGTTAAAGTACAAAATCCAACTCTAAAACCTACGATCTCAGTTGCTCATGTGACTTCTGATTCTATGGTCGAGTGGCTAGAAAACGAAGATACTTTGTATTTTTGGGTAAATAAAGACACCTTCAACATCTAGACAACGATTTTGATAGAAATTAGAACCACTCTCCCCAACTTGAGAGGGAGATGTCGCACAAACAGACAATAATACATGCAACTTGCTAAAATCCAATGACTAAATGCCCTTTCTGCCTTTAATCTTTCTGAGAATGAAAAATTATAAGAATGGGCCAAATCTAGTCTATAGATACATGTATAAAAGGGATTTCTTCAGTTAAGGAAATAAAAAGGGGTTCTGTATAAAATTTAATGGACCAAAATGAGACTTCAACCTTTTCTTAAAGATTGGTAGGGGATCATTGGATGATATTTAAACACTACTATAGCGATTAAGACATATTTATGTATCATTGAGATACTGTTTGAGATTGCTTTCACGGTGCTTCTTCTCACCATCGTTCTAGGAACGAATATCCGAGGAGGATCGAGGCAAGGCAAAATATTTTCAGAATTGAGACAAAAGTACTTGTTGTGAGTACTAAAAACCCTGGAGCAGGTGGATTTGTTGTTTTGAGTAGAGAGGTTCTTTTCAAGGGCAAATGTGATATGTCCCCTTTTGATGTGCAAGGAAGAGAATAAAACAGAAGTGAAAATATCAGGGATGCATGTGACCTTCAAGTTGAAGCCACAATTACATAGCATAGCAGGCAGGGCAAGCAAGGATGCTCTCCGTTAGGAGACAAGGGAATTAGGCATAAGACTGGCCCGTGAAGGCTCTGAAATGCCTGATCAAATATAGGTACGTCCCTGTACACATATATGTATAACCATTAACAGGCATTTTCTGACTCAAATCCCCACATCCCTCTCATGCAGGCATGCTGAATGGTACTACCGAATATATACTTGACAACCAAATGATCCAATCTTATCTATTATTTCAAATTAGTTTGGCATTTCTCATTAGCCTCTGGATGGACCTGTAATTCTCTTGACAGAACCATACCAAGATACCAATAAAGCTACTTTGTCCTGAGGTCTGGTGTCCTGGTATTTGCCTTTTCCAATTTCATTTATCATGGGTTAATTAAACCCAAAATCTAAGGTTACTGCTTCAAATTTCATATAAGACAAGCAGATGGGTGTGGTCTGAGTCAGCAAATAAAGAGGCAAATCAGGGATCCCAATGCATACAAATCCACTTAATCACTCACTCCCTTTTCCACCCGTGCTATAAAAGCTAGGCCACCATATTCAAATGCAAAAAATAGGTACACGGAGGAAACAGAAGAAGATGGTAACTAAGCTCCAAAGGAGAACACCAGGGCTCAGAAAGCTTCACCTTCTCCGAGCTCGAAACGGGTCCAAATCTGTAATGCAAAACTATATTGTTCATTTTATTTCCTTCTCACTTGTTTCACTTGTTACGTGTGAGGATTCAACGATCTATTGTTCTTCATGTTGATTCTTCTTGTGCTATTTTTTAAGGTGAAAAGGAGCTCCATCATCTTAGATGCTCTTCTATACATTCAGAAGCTGAAACTCAAGCTGCAAGAACTCCAAAGAGAACACCTAAACCTACTAGCAATTAAAAATAAATACTTATGCCTTATGAAACATGACCAAATTCCTAAGGTCTGTTCTGCTTTTGTTTCTTTTTCCTTGGTAACTACTTCTCTGTTTGTTACTTCAATTTAACTTTGTTTATGTACATGGAATGATAACACAGGAGGTGAAGGTAGAGAAGACTGGAGAAGGGTTTCTGGTGAGGGTGATTTGTAAGAAAGAGGGACATATGTTGGTGTCAATATTAGAGGCCTTCGATGAAATGGGTCTTAATGTTGTTCAAGCTAGAGTTTCATGCAACAATTTCTTTGCAATGGAAGCCATTACTGTAGCTCAAGACCCGCAAGGCACTGATGTAAAAAATGTGACTCAAGCTGTACTTAAGGCCTTAGAGAGGGAAGGTGGGTAGGGGGTGCTGTAATTGAAGTTGTGGAGGTTTCCTTTCTGAATCCAACTAAGCTATTTGTTAGAGATGTTAATTGAGTTTCTTAAATGACGCAGGTTCTCATTTTCATTTTAACACCTCTCTTGAGGGCATTTTGACAAAACCTGAGATTCACGTGTGTAACTAATTAATATCCATCTTCTTT